AAAATCAAGATACTTCATGCCATATAGTAATAGATACAAGAGAAATTTAGATTTATAGCTACTTCAATGACATGTTGCAATATAGTATTATGTATGAATTATGATTATATTCACGTAATTTGAATTTATTGAAATTAATTTTAGATTCAAAATCATTTATTATCACAATTAAAATTAAATTAAGTTAATAAATAGATTTAAAAATCATATAAAAATCATAATAAATCTGTGTGAGAACTTAATTCATAAATGAATGCATGATAATTTATTTTGAAAAACGCATTTGAATTTTTATGAAAACGCATATTGCATGATGATTAAAAAAAATTATGATCAATCCATATCTGAATAAATTGAAAACTTTTATGTAAAACTATATATCAAAAATGAATATTGTGAATGTTTGTGTATGGATTAAACTTTGCTTTTAAAACAAAGATAAACCAAGTTATGAAAAGATGAATAGAATATTACTTTACTTATTGCATAACTGAAATTATTAAATTCTCTTTGAGAGAAATCTCACTTTGCCACAATTGCAATACGTTGATGTAATTTTGTATGTATATAGAGCGAAGCATATTTTGATAATGGCATCTTCCAGTTATGTAGAAATAGAGTCATTACACGATGAATCATATGAGTTTGTTTGGTTGAAGATCATTGATGACTATATATATATATATATGTGGTTAATCTGATTTTTTAAAAATGACTCTCCAATCCTTTTAACCATAACAAGTTGCATGCATTGTGCAAACGAAGATAAATTACATCAACATCGTATTCACAAACGATTGGTTGAGATTTGGATTTGATGTAAAGTATATTCGATTAAAACATAATTGTGTTGGAATTTTAACTATATCTCTACGATTCCATGGGAAGCTTGTATGTTGGACAAGAAAGGTTATACTATCAAATTCAGAAGAAACCCTAAGAGTATATTTAGATTTGATGTAAATCGTCTAGATGCTGCCACTTCTTTTCCATCTTGTGAGCTTTTTTAAATAAGCTCACAAGTGATTGTATTTTTTTTTATCACGTAGAAATTATTACATTTACTTGGAAATTGACGTAATCAAGTGTGTGATTACGATGCTTAAATGCATAGTTAGTTGTAGAGGGGTAATTTTGTGGAAATATCACAACGATATAGGAATACTAGCAACGACACTCACACACCGTCATACCAATATTCTTATGGCCATTTCTATGTTTGCTTGGGTTAAATATGGTGACATATAGGAAGATGTCTCCAAGGATTCACTATGTTACCTTGACTCTCCAAGGTTTCAGACTTGGTGTTCCACGTTCATTGTGCTATCAGTAACTCCAGTAACTCACTTGAGTGTTTGTGCCATCTCCGTTGTGAGAATCAGTATTTTTTTTTATCAAAATCTAAATCTGACTGTGTTCTGAAGTAACTCTGATTGTGTTATCTAGACCGAGTTCATGGCTGCAGAGATCACATCAGCCTGGAGAATCAACTGGCAAAGTTCCGACAGTGGCAACCCTAAACCCTACAGCTAACAACACCGTCAGTCAAGCATATGAAAATTCAACGATCATGTCAACGTTGAACGTGGACTGAGTACCGTAACATTAAAAAAAGTCCGTCCGTCTCCTCGCGGTACGTGGCACTGGATACCGATATAGCTCCGGTATCCACCGTCTCCTACAAGGTGCTTAGCAACGTCTGATTTCGTGTTAGGCGGAGCTGGGTGAGGTCGGGAATACTCCAGACCGAATATTAATTAATGCGCCATTTGTTGTATTAGAATGTGGCGTGTTGTAGGACGATTTGGACTGAATCAAAGTAGTACAGCTCTCGGCGTTGTCGATCTCAATCGGTGGCGGTCGAGTTCGTCCGGGCCTTGCTCATAACTTTTCTCCACATCAGGAGCCAGCCGCTTTATTCTTTCGAAGGGGAAGGCCTCGAAGATGGTGAGAAACCCGTCCCAATATGAGCCAACTTAGCTCTAAGTGGTCCGCAATATTTACTCCACTCTAATTGTGACTCGTCGCCAGAAGTTCATCTCCTCGATATGTATTCCTTCGAGGCTCCCTTGTCCCCTCAGTTTGTGAATTATCAATGAAGTGGTTGCCTCTGCCATCACCGACCTAAGTCACAAGACTTGTTACTCAAGTGGGCTGGAGACAAGGGCAAACGAAATTCTCGAAATTCTTCCAAATTGGTCGAATGATCTTCAACTCGGGTCCAGATGGGTTGACATGGGGCTGGAATCATCCGGCTGCTCAGAGAATGCGACCTCAGACGCAGTGCACAACAGGAAGTGCCAACCCGCCATCTCCCGCCATCCTCCAACCCTTCCCCAACAATAGACTTGAACTCGAGGTAACGGGGCCTGACCACAACCTGAAGTTGCACTGGACAGAGGAAACGTCGTTGGCGGCTCAGATGAGAATGTGGCAGCTAATGGACTGACTAGATGGACGTGGATGTTGGGTCAATCTCAAAGGTCCATGAGAACTAAACCTAAGCTCATGTACTCCAGTCAGCACATCCTCGTCATATTTGCTGCTGATGATCAGCAGTTATTACTTCTCTGGATAGTACTGTACCGGGTTGAAGGCTTCCATTGCCCCAGCAAGAAGTGTGTCATGCGACAAAAGCTTGAGAGGATGAGTCTCAGTCACCTCTAACTATGACACTCGTGTCGTGCCTTAGATGGCTGAGAGTGCACGTCTGGCCTTCGTGACCAATGGCGACGAAGGGTCCAATCGGTAGAGCGGCGCTGAAGATCTTTGTCGAGCATTTGCGTTAACCGATTACGAGGAAGGTGTTGTGAGCTGATTGGAGCGGGTGATCATGTCAATTAAAAGGACAAATCCTGCCAATTACTCTCATCATGCATAATATGCTCAAAGTTTTCAACGGAGGCTCCAAAGATGTAAGATCCGGAACCGTACCAAGAGTTGTTCACCCTAAGAAAGACATGTGCAAGTCCTTTGGCTCTTCCGGACATAAGAACGAGTCAATCCCCAAGAGAATGCTCAAATGTTCCTCGGCGCGCTAGAAACAAACCGAGTTCACGGTCCGGGATTAAGGGGCCTTACGCCTCATCAGAAGCGAGCAGTCATGGATCCCGTTACAACAGGCTTCCTAAATTCTGGAATTTGATAGCAAAATCCCAAAAGTAACCAAAATTAAATCGTGGCATCCATAAACTAATAACGTCATTATAACAAATATGAATATTATTAACACAAATAGTATTACGCCACGTATTTTCGTTTTTGTGCAGAAATTACTCTTTGAGTAAGTCAATTAGCATCGAGTAATAGTGAGCGTATGAACTCTATTTATTGACAAATCCCCAAATTAACACGATTAGAATCCATAATTCAAGTTAATTTCCTTAGTTACGGGAATTCCAGGCCTTCTGGTGAAGAGCTCACTTGTCGAGCCGTTGGTCCCTTGGGGCATGCACGTACTCTCGGAAGGCGAAGAAATGAGATCCGGCCACCTCGTCGTCGTCTGAAAGCAGCCACTCCCGAGCAGACGTGGGACTCAAGGACGAGGAGCCGGAGCCACGTTTGAAGCGGTCGAGTGCGCGGTCAAAGCTGAAGCCGGAGGCGGTTTGAAGCTTGACCGGTCTCGGCTTCGCAAGAGTTCCTCCGTTCGTTCGTTCGTTAGGCTGGAGAAGATTCAGAAACTTCTGACGGTTCGGAAACATTCCACGGCCTGCGGACACGTAACGTTGCGGGAAAGTGCGAGGCTTTGCTCGCTCGCCCGGAGCAAGAGCCTCCCAAGAGTTCGTTGTCGAACCTTGAATCTGTGGAGACGGGAGAATATCTTCAGGGACGAGGCAGTTACGGATGAGGTTGACTGAATTCACACCAAACGTGTCGACTCTTTGGCGACATGACTTTTTCAAAAGCCAATTCAAAGCGCAGACCACATGGAGTTGACCAACATTCAGGGCCCCTCCTTGATCTCTGAGCCCGAATCTTTTATTGATTGATTGATCTTTGGCCGCCCTCGGCCTCCGGATGGAAAGAAACAGGTGGTACCCAGTTGAACAAGAGGTTCTCATTGCTCCAGTATGTGCAAATCTTTATTTCCAGAAATGAGAGTCAGGCCTACGAGCCTGCCAGATGACGGGGTACAAGTACACTTGCGTGAGTCGAGACGATGTGTAGTGACGGAAGGCCCACCGGAGAACTGGACTCTGGAAACGAACTCCCTTCGTTGATGTCGATTGGGAGGTAGGACTGGCGGTTAACCGGTTAGCCGTCCGGCCGGTTTAACCGGTCTCGATTTTCCCTACGACCGATTAACCCATCCCAGGGAATGGTACATTTTCTACATTTTTTGGTACTAAGAAATGTGGAATAACACCCCAGCCGGAGTCAACTGTCGTTATACTAACGTGAGCATAGTCTGCTAAAACCCCAGATGAAAGGATCGTTGTGGACTCCGTTCAATGCGAGAACAAAACGCCTCTCGAATAAAATGAGAGCCAGTTGGTTTCCTCATCATTCTGGCGTTATCAATCATCCACTTTCTGCCACTCATTACTACTGAGTGAAAAATTGCGGAAAAATATCTGAAATTTTGGGAAATTTTTGCTCCTAAAAAATGGACCGGTTAACTGGTTAATTAAACGGCTAACCAGTTAACCTTTAACCGGACCGTAGCCAAGCCTATTGGGAGGTACCAATCATTAATCCTAGGTTTGCATTCGATAAGGTGCCCGCTTCTAATGTACGGCCCGGTTATGAATCCATCTGCCTTCGATATTGCCATCGGAGGTCAAACCAGAAGACGGACACACGTCAAGATCCAAGCAGCTTGTGCAACGTGATCCGTGGTCTGGCCGAGACAAATCAAAACCGTGGAAGGAAGTTGGAGAAACCACCAACACTGGCCCAAACATGGCATAAATTTCGGAGCACGGCTGCTATCAATGACGAATAATCTTCATTGAGAAAGAATCGAAGTTGATAAAGTACAATCCGGGATCTCTTCCCGGGGAGCTTCTCTAGATTATTGTAATAACTCTCTAGGCTAGGTTAGGTTAGGTTTGGTTAGGCTAGGCAACGCTAAGCTAAGCTAGGCTAGGCTGCAGGCTTGAGACCTGCAGAAATCTGCCGTGTACTGTACTACTTTCCTATCAAAGCGCTAAACCTCTGGTAATATCTGAGACTGTATCGAAAGTTTGGCTCTATGTAAGAATGGGGAGGACTTGACATGTCCTGTACAAGAATGTGCAAGCTAAGTCTAATCTGTTTGTGACTGTTCATAGTAACTCCCGAAATCGTAATCGTCCATGTACAATTGCTGGTGACTGCCGGGACTGCCGATCATGTACGGGGGCATGCCCATGGTCGAGGGGATGCCACCGTACAGAGACGGCGAAGGTTCGGAAGAGATCACTTCCGAGGCGTCGGACTCCGTCGTATGAATGTTGTAGATTTCCGCACCCGGGCCCGAGTACGAAGGGACGAGCGAGATCTGGGAGGCGGCCGGACGAATTTGCTGGACATGGCTCGTTCCGACTTCGGACGTGGCTGGCGAAGGTGTGTATTGGCCGGTGACTTCGCTCTGAGCCGCGGGTGGACGCTGCTGCTGCTGAAACGATCGAACGAGCATGTTCGACTCGGCCCATCGTTCGCCGTACTGCTGCTGAGCTCGAGAAGCATCAGCAGAGTCGGCCATAGAAACGGAAACACTGTCGTGAGAGATCTGTCCCCTCATGATTTCGCGCATCCGCTCCATCTCCCCTCCTCCTTGGTTAGCCGTAGTTTGCCGCTGCTGCTGCTGCTGCAGAACCTGATGGACCGATAGATCCTCCAGCTCCAACCCCAGGGACCCACCATCGGTTCGGCCCAACAAGAGGCTCCTGAGATTCGAGCCACTGAAAAGGCAGTCACGTGCAGATCTACTTTGGTTATAGTCCTGATCTAATCGACAATTCGCATTCGCAGCGACCTTCGCTGGAATGTTTTGCTGGGTTTCCTGCTGCTGCTGCTGCTGCTGCGCGGTTGACGCGCTGCTCATGCCTACCCGAGGACCTCCGATTTGGTTGTGCTCGGGCGAGCCTGTGGTGGTGGTTATGGTGGTGCTTGTGATAGTGCCAGTGTTGGACCTCCTGCTGCAGGGAACTGCAGTCAATCCGCTGGTTGACTTGGGTGGAGGAAATGGACTCGGACCCAGGCCAACAATGACGTTCTCTTGACTTTGACCCGGTGTACTCAAGTGCAGCGCTCCGCTGCCCATTATGAGAGCCGAGGACGACGAGCCTTTAGGGTCGGAGCCGAGCAGCTCGTGGATCGCGATGTGCGATGGTGCCAAACCGAAGTGCCAGGTTCGCTGCTCCAAGAGCGGGCAGATGTGGTTGCCTCGGTACGTCACATCGTAGTAGTTCGGATCTTCGTCCGAGCGTTGCACCATTTTTATGGAAGGGCACCCGAGATCTGTCTTGTGCGTGCATCTGTAGTAGCTTCTGCATCGACACCAAATTAAAACAAATGAGCAACCATCGTCGTCCGGCCCATAAATCAACACTCAATCCATTCCTCAACTGCTTACAGTTCTTCTGTTCTGTTTCTCACAGCAAGCCCCGAGGCAGAAATGATGATTCGCTACTCGAACCAAATCCAAGCCCAATTAATACACACACACATACACGCACACTATCAACGTCCATTCGACATCGAGTGATTCAGAATCACCGAAATGAACGTCTCTGCAGAGCAATGTTGGGGTCGGGCTAAAGTGTGAACGAACCTCGCATAGCTGGACTCCTTAATGTCCTTCTGCCCATATTTGCGCCATGTGAAGCCGTCGTCCGGGGGGCCATCGTTGTCCCCCGTACCAATCGCCCGTTGTTTCGTCTGATACTTGGGCAAATATTTTCTGCGTACAAGGAAAAAAAACCAGAGCCCGTCAGCCGACATTCTGAGCCGAATGGACTCGAATTAAAAATCGAAGAAATCCGAAGAAATTGTTCGACGCAGCATTCTGCGAATGCAGACATGCAGTGCGGCCTCGTGAAAGGGCAGAAAGCATGAGGAGATCGACAGCATTACTGACCGCTTCTTGGGCAGAGCTGGTTTGTCGCTGAGGTCGGGATCGGCGGCGCTGGTGGAAACGTCGTGAGACCGGCGGCGCGAGAGATTGCCGACGGTGTCCTCGTCGGAATCGGGAGCGACATGGTTCGGCCTCACGGGAGAGCCGCCCTCGGAGAGACCACTGCCGCTCAGAGGAGTGTCGCATGGGCTCGTGGTCGGACTGGTGAATTGCATACGGCCTGGCGTGTGGCAATCGTCGCCTGACAGCAGAGGGCTATCGGCATCCAAAGTCAGATTTCCGGCTTTCGCTACAAGCTGGTCTTGAGCTTTCGAGCCGCCCGTGGCCATGGAATTGGTACTGCGAGTCGCGCTGGGCGGAGTCGACAGCAAGCGGATGACCTTGCTGAATTTCTCTACGATGGCTGCAGACGCGTTGAGAATCGTGGTGCGCAAAGCTTGCGCGTCTGCTCCCTCAGCTTCTCCAAGCAGCCCTCCCTCCGGCGCATCTCGAAGGCGATTTTCCACATATTTTATCTGCTGGCACCCCAAAAAGGCCTCGGATCTCACCTTCCGCTCGAACTCGAGAATTCGCATTTTTGCTGCCTGTCCCTCTGACTCCTGTTCCATACGCGAGAGGGTGACTCCACCAAAGCCCGTTCCAGATTCTGTGCCAGTCAGTCCGTGCCTACTAGAAACCTTCCAGACAGCCGAACCCCTTAAGAACCTATCTCACTCACAGTGTCACCTGAGAAGATCCGGACTCTGTTCTGCAGAGATATCGAGCTGCAGTTCTACAATCCGTGGCTCTGCTCTCGTCTTTGCCGAGAGCGCACAAACTTGGCAGCGGTGCCGGCCCCTTTCTTTGAGCTACTAAGACTGCTAAGGCGAGGTTCCAGAATGAATTCGCTGATCGATGGTTGGCTAAATTCTGTCACCCGATTCAGCGTCGTTTCTCGAAGCAAAACTACGGAATTGCGCCCGCATCAGCTCCTCTGCAGCTGTGGAGAGCGTGGATCATAGTGAGGAACTGTCTAGCAGCTACCGAGGTCTCCGGATTCGGGCGGGCAGGAAATTCTGTGAATTAGTTTTTCCAGCGTCCTCGCCACGGCGCCCCGGTTCATTCTCGTTGGAGATTTTAAGTTTTTTGGCTTTCCGAAAGAAGCGAAGATAGAAAAGCAGCACCAGCTGAGCTGAATCCTAATCTAGACCAGAGTGTGCGCGCGCACGGAACGAACAATCACGAGAGAGAGCAGCAGAGGGCGCCCCCGAAGTGGACGACTGCGTGCAAGTTTGGGTGTCCAGTTCGAAAAGGACCGGGTCTCGCTCTCCGAAGGAAGCAGGCGCTCTGTCCCCTCTGAGCTCTCGTGTCGAGTTGGCAGGATGAATGTAGCCGGTAGAGCAGGGCCTTTTGAAGATCACAGACAAGGCCACCAGACCCGGAAATCCAAGTGCTTCCCGGAGAGGAAAGAAAGACCAGACGGAGCCGAGCAGAAAGCGAGCAACTTTCCATTTTTGCATGTTTGACTCAGCCCCCGCGCTCTCCCCCGCTCCCCATCCCTCACCTGAGCCATCTGACAATCGGCATCATAAGAATCCCGGCGTTCCGGAGCTGTCGACCCGTGGGTTCGGCCGAGGACGAGGGCCTCCGTGGGCCCCACCTCGCGCAGGGAAGGGGAGGTCCGTCGCCCTGCCCTCATCCGACGACAACTCGATCACAGCTCGATGGTGTTGTCTTGCCGGCATGCCCCCTCCCCCCACTCCTCCATGGCGGACTATCCCACCGCCTGCTCGCTCCTTGTCCCATCCTGTCCTGTCCTACGCCCGGCGCGCGATTCCTTTCTTCGATCCGAGGTCCTGCCCTCCGCCCGGACCAAGATTCGCGGTTCCGCCCGCGAGGAGCCAGATTCGCAGTCAATCCGGTCCCGGACCGAGGCGGCGATGGGTTTCACTGGCCCTGACAAAAGTCCGACGGGTAGAAAGTTCCAGCCACAGTACAGCGCCTGTCAGTCCGAGCTTCCGAACCTCTGGCATTGTGTCTGTTGGTAGTCCACTCCTCACGATGACGAACTCCCTCCCTCAGGTGAATGGTACGGCAGGAGTCGCAGGACTGCGCGAGAGAACGAGAGTAGGTCAAAATTCCGTTTAGTCAAAGGCGCGGCATTTGGTACCTTTCCCTCATCCCCTCTCCCTCTCTGGTTGGAGATCATTCCTCGCCGGGAGCTTTCTCTCGCCATGCATCGAGTCTCATTCGGTTAGGCTTGACCCTAGGATAAGGTTAAGGTTAAGTTGACTCTGAAGTTAGACTCGGGTGAGCGCCCTGTGTTATTTATTTATTGTTCTGAAAGTCTTGTCGTTTGAAGCGGGGATCGGATCTATCAACACAAAACAAAACCCCGATAAGCATCGGCTTCTCAAGGCCCGCAACACGCATCCGATCTCAAGCGTCGGAAACTCCTTGTCACCGGATGGATGAAGACAGCCCGAGAATCCGGAAGCCTTACTCGCAGAGTATGTGACGTGGCTCGAACCAATACATTTATTCCCAACAGTACGCCTAACTTATCGTGGGATGGATGGATCTTTCGGAGTCAAGTCCAAACCCGGGAGCAGTCTCGTCCAACGACCAAGCAACAGCGAGACCAGCTCGAATTTGCTCTCCTCCAAATCTTCTCCCCCCCCCCCCCCCCCTTCCATCGGTGTTGAATATAAAAATTCAAACTTCGAAGGCCTCTGTCTCAATTCCGAAAGTCGCACCCCTGCCCTTCGCCATTATCCATCTTCATTCCCGAAGTCATGCCCGTCGCCACCAGCTCCTACTCCTTCGCTTTTCGGATACCTCCGCCTTCGTTCAAACCCGACGAGTTCGAACCCCGAGTGAACGCGCTTTCACCTGGCGCCTTTGACCGACCTTATCCAACTGCCCGCACCTCTGGTCCCGAACCACGTAAGCGCCGTATGCTGGGATCCGAAGGCAAGGGAAGGGAAGGGAAGGGAAGGAAAGGAAGGAGAGGAAAAAGGAACAAAGGAACGCATGAACGCATAATTTGCAGGTCTCGAACCCAGTCAATCGCTACCGGCTTTGAACTCCCGCGGTCCGGTCACCACACTCTGACTATTCTCTACTTCTGCGGGTCGGTCAGACGCAACAGTGAGATGCGCGTTTCGACATCGAGCCCAGTTCTGCCGATTGTGGAGCGTCGTTTCCAGCCTCGGAGCTTTGACTTTGATTTCTGTACTGAACCGCGGTCCGTTAAAAAACTGTCACGGATCAGCAGCGAACGAGCGACGGAGCGACGACGATGATGCTCGCCGGGGGGCCCCGGAAGAAGATTTGGACAAGATTTATCGGTAAACGTAAACGGACGAGTCCGAGACTGGCCTTCTGCAGACCGACTGGCGAACGGACGGACTCCTCGACGCAAGTCATTAACCGACTGGTCTTTCCGTGAGACATGGGATCTTCTGGGCATTCAGACGTTCGGGTCTGGGAGAGCCCTTCCTTTTATAATGTTATCTCCGGCGGATGGGGTACACGGCCACCTGAACTCTCATACATTCCCTCGTCTTTCTTTGGGCTCTGTCGCTCGCTTCCGATCTCCTTCGGCGGGGAGTGTTCCCTGTTTCTTGTTCCTTCGACCTCGGCCACCACAGAATCTGTCCAGATAGGTACGGCTGGGGACATGCTATCTCGTAGCAGCCTTGATCAGTGGCTCATCCTCGCGCTGTAGTACTCTATCTAAAGGACGCAAGCATCACAATTGAGGTACTCGTTAGGACGATGACGGATTAGAATGCACGATAATGAGTCTCTTATCCACATCACCATCAGATGAGTTCCTATCCAGTTTTAGAAACTGGCCTGCTCTTCCATCGGAAGGCGGCCATGAGAGCAACGACCTACGATGCTCAAATCGTATGCAGAGTCAGAATTCTCAACAAATACCATCAAGAAGTCAAAATGGGTAAATGATTATTTCTTCTAATCTCAGAGAAATAAAGTTGGTTCAAAAATCAAAGCCTACATTGTGAGCGGACAAGAAGATGATATACTTTCTAATATGCAGTTGAGTTGAAGTCTAGCTGGTGAAATGTCTTCAGCAAAGTAGAAGTGGGTTTTTAAGTACCTTCAGAATCCGATTGATATTTCTCTTGTGCCTCCACTGAAGATCTTTTTTCCTGAGAAGAACAATCGATAGCTGAATCTCGGGTATATTCATGTGGATTCGCATGCTACATTAGCAATAGAGGAAGAAAGGAAAGAGAATATGATATGTCGAAAAGTAAAAATAAAAGACACGTTAACATACGCATGCCAAATACATCTGGTTCACTGGTTAAGTGACTACTTTTCCCAAGGTGGATTTTGGTAATAAACCTCTTGCTCTTATGTGGCGAACTCTCTCACAGTATTTACTCCGAGTGGATGAGATGCATATTACTTAATTAATATCGTGATATTATTGTGAAAATTTGGATAAAATGGATACGTAAGTGTCGTTTGGAACAAATGAAATAAAAGAAGAGTATTAATAACTTAAAAAAAATCCGTTCCAAAGAACAAAATTAAATTGATTGTTCAACGAGAATTGTGAAGCAGCGTTCTTTCGGAAGATTTAACAAGGGATCGGTTAGGTCTTAGATAGATTTCTTTCATCATCTACGGTTGTAGAGTCTATTGTGATATATACCGTTATAGTGCTCTTGGCCCTACTTAGGGATTGGCCTTTGGGATCTTTTCAATTGTTTGCAGTTGTTGCTTGAATTGTGTTTTTCAATCTTTTGATTCTTTGGGTTCCTTAGGCTTGATCTATTACCATTTATGGCCGTTCTATAACTAATCATGACTGCTACATATAACAACAATGTGCACAGGGAAGACCAACAATGTAAGCATTAATTAACAAAATCATTGCGCTTGTTTAGTGCATTGTTCAAAGCATTCTTTAGCACTATTTATTGCGCTAGGTTTAAACTTCTAATGCATCACAAAAGTTTTGCAAGCCACTATTTAAAGATGCAAAGTTTGTTGACTCTAAGCATGTTGTCTTGCAGGAGAGTTAACAAATTAATATCCTTGGGTTAATGAACTTGTAGATGTCCAGATTCAAGACGATCCACGTGGATTATGAAGATTAAAGAAACAAGCAAGATTACATTCAAATCTAAAATTTCATTTCTTAAAAGCCAAAACAAATTAAAGCTTGCATGTTAAAATTCTTATTTATCAATTTCAATTCTATAAATCATTTTGCTTTCAAAAGTAAATTTAACTTGTACATGATTTAAATTTAATGTACAATATATTATTTCATGAGATGATATGATAACAAGTCCATTGTCATTTAACGTAATACTTAATATCTACATTAAGATAGTTTCAGTAAAATTTGACACTGAACATTTATGTTTTTTCTGATTTGACCATATGATCTTATGAAAAACGAAAATATTCTTTGTAACCTTCTAGATAATCATGACTTTTTATATGAAGTGATTAAAAAATTCTAATTATTTAAATATTATATTCCTTTATAAATTATTATTTTTATACATTACGTTCGTCAATTACATGTATCTTTTTTATTCAAAATATGAAAGATTTATTTAAATTTATTATTATTATTATTCATACAATTAAAAAGTTATATAATTTTTCTAATGAAATTTCTTATTTATATTGGTTTTTGATATAATGATGTAATCAATATTTGTTCATTAAATACACAATAAGAATCATGTTTTACAAAATCAACTCACGAATTATGTAATTCATCTCACCAAAGCTACATTTATTCATCATACATTGTTTTTAACTAAAATACTTACTTTTGTATAGCATAGCTTTGCCTATCTTTTGCATGTCAAGCAAGCTAACTAGTTCAGCTCATTACATTACAGTGACATTCACTAGAGATAATAAAAACCTAAAATAATTCCAATTTGTGCTTTTACTCATATCTATTATCATCATTTTACAAAAAAAAAATTTACATATAAATTGAAGATGGTGTCTCTAGTAAACTTAATAAGATTTTAAAAAATCTATCCTTTGACTCATACATTGAAATTACACATTTCTATTAATAATTACTTTGCAAAAATTCTTAGAAAAATATCTCCCATATGCATCTTATGAGTTAGTGATTGACTAAATATATGTAGCTCCAACCAAACAAAAATCACACAACTTCATATGAGTCTACGTCCAAGATCGAGATATACACTTCACTAAAATAAAATTATTTATTTATTTATCATTATTTAAAAAAATATAATAAATAAAAATTTTTCAAAAAAAAATTTATTTTGAAAAAATTAGAATACAAGAAATTTCTTTACTGTATTAGAAATCCTTTTGTATAAAAATCCTACATGTCATCTAGTGTTTAAGCTTTGATGGCATGTAGCACTATGAATTAAAAGAGTATTTCACTCTAACATAAAACACAATCTTGAAGATGAGAGATATCCAAAATAGTTCTATTCTACGTTATATGTATCTCATCAACAAATATTCGGAGATAAAAACTCAGCCTCATTTTTCACTTAATTGATGATATGACAAATAATTTTGACGAGTACATAGATTGTTGTTGCGCCGCTATAAACTAACACATTTTCTCTTCACCTTCCAATCACATGGATAGTTGACGTGACGATTATAAATACTCCATTATAATGAATTAATATCTCCATTATGTAAAGTTTCTTTTAATAATGTTTGTATGTTTTCTATACGATAATCAAATGATACATTAAATATCATGTTAAAGTATATATATAACATAGCACCTTGTGCAATATTTCACAAGTATTGAATCAAAAATTTGTTACAAATAAAAAAATGACTATCAAGCATATTTACATATCACACATTTAATTAATAAAAAATTACTTATCCATACAAATTTAACAAAACTTTACTTCTATCACTCATTATATTCACAACATAATGTTTTATTAAAAAAAAATATTGAATGCTGCATCAAACATAATCAATTTCATATCAAATACTACATCACATGCTAAATAATCACATTAATTGCTAAAAGTACCACAGATGCGTGTTCAGATGTATGTGCTTAACATAAGGGTGCTCCGTGTGGACAGATTTCAAGTTGATGTTTTTCTTTGTGAGCTATACGT